AACAAAGGCCTCCTGTAGCGAATCGATGCGTTTTTGTAAGAAAAATATCCATATTCAAAACGTAATAATCACTTTAACGTAGCTTGCGCTCACTGTTGTACACTGGAAGCAGTTCCCGGCGGATGACGTATGGAGGTCGGCTTTGCGCATGCGCCGCTCAGAAGTGACGCACGGGGAAGTGCAAGGGAGAGATCAAAACAAAACAACGGTCACTAATTAGAAGTACAAAACGAGGATTTTTAAAGAAGAATGTCAGAGGATTTCGATATAAGCCAAGAGGAGACTGGTTTTCCTTTGCTAAAGTAAGGAAACTTTGCTCCTGTTAACAAACGTTGGTTTTCACAAGACTCACCGGCGCATGCGCAGCGCTGACCTCATACGTCATCTGCCCGGAACTACTTCCAGTGTACAGCAGTGAGCGCAAGCTACATTAAAGTGATTATTATGTTTTGAATATGGATATTTTTCTTACTAAAAAGCATTTATTTAACTTCTTTTGGACAGATGCATGCAACAACCGCTGAGTACCATGAAACAGCTTGAAAGATCAAAGACAATTTTTAATATACCTCCGACTGGATTAGTCTGAAAGAAGAAAGTCATATTCACCTAGGATGACTTGAGGGCGAGTAATTTATGGACTAATTTTCAGTTTTGGGTGAACTAACCCTTTAACTCGATCTTCCAGTGAACTATCAGACTCCTCTCTGGTGACGTATACCGGACTTCTGCAATCATTTTGCCCACTTAAACTCTGCCCCTTTCTTACAATCAACTACAAGCTTGCATCCAGATCTGCCTGCCACTTTTTTCTTTTTTGATAATCTGTTTTACTTCAAATTTGTGCTTGCTCATCTCCAAGCTTTAATGTCTTTCTGCTTAGGTTAATGTGGGGTTACTGGTCATGAGCATGCTGGGATTCTGCCTGCCCAGTTATCTTCTGTGTTACGGCAGGCGGCTGCGCCGAGAGAAGCAGGAGCGCGAGGAAGACCCCAAGATCTACGTCCAGATCAACAACAGCACAACCCCCGAGGCCTTTGTCTAACTGCAACGCACAAATGACAGCAGCTAGCATAGAGAGCAGGAAGAAGGAGGGTGGGAAATAAAAGAAGAGAACTGAAGGTCACAAGAAGAGTGATAAACACCTCCCCGATTCCTCCTTCTGTCTGACACACACACACACACACTCATATTTTCCCAACAGGCACATAACAACAAACAGGCACAAAATACAGCCAAAGCAACCAAGAGTCTCACAACGTGCCACACAAAAACACACGTTTACACGCAATGGACTGATTGGACACTGAAAGGCAGGTCTAGAAAAAAAATGATGCCCTTATCCTTGAAACAGACACGGACATCAAGACTTTATATACTGCCTGACAAGAAAGAAGAGCAAGCCCCTTTTTTCTCACGATTTTCCCTTGATTTTTGAATTTCACAACACGACGATACAAAAGACGAAGCAGAATCAGTGAAATTCTCTCAGGTTTGAGGAAGCCTGATGACGCTTCCTGAACAGAGTATTACTTCGTCACTAGTGTTCATTTTTGTTGCCAAGCTTCTTTCAAACATTTTCTGCGAACTGATTTTAAATCACTATGAACACTTTACGTTGCTCTCAGCTAATAAAGCTGCTGAAAAGCGAGATGAGGACCCTTCATTGTGGTTTGAATATGACAAACTGACAAACTACCTTCAAGCAGAATGATTCTGCTTGTTATCTGTCCAGTATGGGTTTTCATTTGAAGTGGGCAGATTTTAATCTCATACATCATATACAGTACCAGCATGCTTTGGACAGCATGAGCATGAAACTGCAGCTTTTTCTGAACTGGGCTGATTTTAAAGGACTTTCGGACATGGCACCCGAGGCTAATGTAATCTAAACACAATTTTAGTATGAGAATAGTGCTATTATTTGCTTTGGCATGCAGATTCAGTACATCTACATGCGAGATGATGCATTTTGTGCATATCAGTCCATTCAGAAGGTTGTAGAAGCCATGTGGGTCTAAAAGGTTTTGATTAAGGTGGTATTTTGGGGATTAGCCTCACATTTTGATCAAGAGTGACTGATCTTCACCAGCAATACTATTCCACACCAATCATACCGTACCCTATACCACTAACCCATGCAGTACTACTGGTTGAGCTTCACTTGTTAGTGTTTTTTCATTGTATTGACTCGAACAATTATTCAGGGTGTTTCACTTTTAGAGTAATAATTCATATCAGATGTATTCACCTGCAATATGATCCCTTCTTGCTTTGCTTTGTGCGTTGAGGGGTATAAAATGAGACACAGTGTACTCTCGTTAAAGAGATTAGATGCCATTATCGTATATAAATCTTGCACTACAGATTTCATAATTACAGAGGTGCTCACGTTAGCCATTACAAAGTATATGTGTTCTATTCCAACCTCATACATACATGAAAACCATGTTAGCCATACAAGATACAGGATTTTTGTGTATGTTCTCATGATTTCTGGTCTGGTTACCATTTAACTACGGTGCTTACTAGAATAAAAAAGCAAGAAGGTTTCTGCGTTGGTCAAGATGAACGATACAGAAACCAATTACAGAATTTAGTTGGCTACTCAACCTTGTGGTGATAAGGACTTGAATTTAATTCATAGCGATTAAAAAAGGGAGACTTTTGAGACATGCTTGACGACAATCCCTTTGGAAGACCCTTAAATTTGTAGCTTATAATGGGTTTCAGGCCAGTATTGTGCCCTATGAAAGACAAAACGTGGTAACTATATATAATTGAGCGAAATTGGGTCTTTTAGACTGACAGGTTGCACGACAGATGGGTACTTTCAGAAAACAGTGTGAAAAATTATGTAAAATCAATCAAATAACTTGTGAATCAAATAACATTTTTCTTGATTCCAGTGTTGATGTAGTTTCCATGTGTTTTTGTAGATCACTTATATTTCTCAGCAAAACATTGATTTGAAGATGTTAGGGTTAAGTCACAACCTCGCTTACTTTAACAGTATTTTCACTGTAAACTTATCTGAAATTATTTGTTTCTCCATAACTGAGAGACAAACACAGATGTTTGTATGAGATCCTGGATGAGGATGAGGATCTTCTCAACAGTGGCCATAAATGTGACCTTCCTTTATGACCCCCCTGAAGAGGAACATTTCAGATCTACCCAGCAACATCCACTTATTGTCTGTCACACTTTTTTGTGAATATTTTGTCAAAGCTGAGGCTAGACGCGAGTCCTGGATGGACTGCATTTGCTGGCTTGAACATGCCTGGATATTGCAAGTGAATTCCAATCTAAAGCAGTACTGTACTAAGCATAATGAATGTGAGAGTGAACCCATTTGCTCTCAGAATGAGAGAAGTAGCACTTTTTCTCACTGCCGTACCTTAAATTTTCATTCTTTTCTCAAAAGTCACAATCACATTTTTTTGGTTTTAAAAGTTGATTTATAATACCCCATTGTACGTGTATGAGTGTGGAAAATGCCCATACGCAGTAAGAGGGAAGAAAAGTGGGAAAGATCAGCTTTAACACCAATGTTTTCTCTCTGTATTTTATTTTTAGTGTCATTTTATGATTATCTTGTTGATTTTTTCTACTCTGTAGTTTGTATTTTCAATTATGAGTGTACATAATGTTTCTCTATTTTCTTCTCTTTTTTTGTGGGTTTTGTGCATTTTACTGTATTTGGCTTTTGGTTTTCTTCATTCTATCACTATATAGCAACTTTTTTGAATACATGTCCCAACAAAATATCAGATATGTGAAATTAAATAAAAACAGATTAATTTGTTGAAATATTTTTTGCATTTTTTTTCTGGTAATGCATAAACCAAAATAACAATCTGACATTATGAACTGCTTTTGATCTGCAGTTTCAGTGAGTGTTACAAGTCTGGAGATTTGCCAACCTTTTATTCAATATATATAATATACTTTTGTTCTAATTTAAATAGGTATTTCTATAAAAGGACATTAGACTGTCAGGATGGAACCAAACAGGATTAATTTAAGGGTGTATATATATATATATATATGTGTGTGTGTGTGTGTGTGTGTGTGTGTGTGAC